TCCCGTTTTAAGATCTTCCCCCATACGCGCCTAAACCCCGCGCACGAGACCCCCAAAAAAATTTGTTGGCGGGAAACAATTTCGCGAACCAGGCAACATAGAAGGCTGAAACTTTGCAGGGATATTCTCTATGCACGTACGAGGCAAAGGTTTTAAGCTCAGCCCTCTAGCTCCCAACCACAGCCTCAAGCAGCTCCTGAACCCAAAAATTGTTAGCAACCCGGACATGAACCGCAACTGTATATGCGGATGAACGTGAATTTTTTGAAAAACGACCGTTCGGGCAATACTTTCGATTTTTCAGGCCACAGCCTCAAGCAGCTCCTGAACCCAAAAATCGTTAGCAACTCGGACCTGAACCGCCAATTGTTTATGCAAATGAACGTGGATTTTTTGAAAAACGAGACCGTTCGAGCAATACTTTCAATTTTCCAATGAACTGAATTTGCATATTTTCAAAAATTCGTTCGCAGCTCGGACCTTAACTGCAATCGTATATGTAAATGAATGCGTTTTTTTGGAAACGACCGCTCGGGCAATACTTTTACTTTCTAGTGAACTGGAAATTTGCATTTTTTCAAAAAACTTCAAAACTTCAAAAAGATTTATGGTGTGCCTTCTAAAGGCCTACAGAAATGTGAACGTACAACAACACGTTTGTAATAAAGCAACGCACGTTTTTCTCACGTAAATCCAGAGCTTCCCTAGATCCTTTTTTCCAGGTGAGTTTGCCAGCAAAATGAAATACGATACAGCCGCGAAATGGAAGTACGATGAATCGATTGTGCTGTGTGGTAACAGTCATGTCCGCACACTCACACACAGCCGTCGTACACACCAATTGCAGGTAGTGTGCACACCACACGCAGTCCCCATTCAAACCACGCGTAGCCTTCTATACACGTACGGCGCCTTGTGTCGCACACAGACGCCGCACACCACCACACCCTCCCTCTTCCTTTCCCTTCCCCCGTTCTGATCGCAGCCGTACATTAACGAGCCGCGCTGCGTTTGCAACGCCGACACATTTCACTTCTTACACGCAACCACCGCTCCAGTGGTTGCGCGTAAGAAAAAAGTGAGATGTATCGACGTTGCAAACGCGGCGCGGCCCGTCGGCGTGCGGTCACGATCAGTTACGATAGGCGGCAAATTTGAATTCGTGTCACGTGCTAATAGCGATGAATTAGGCCGGGGGGGGTACGTGGAGGTCCTGCCCACATCATAGTATCCTGGCCTAGGCGGGAGGGGAAGAGGGGAGGCGAACAGCGAAATGCAGCGGCAGTTGGAAATGAGGGGCTCACTAGTTGATGTCACGTCCAAAATTGCGAAAGCTAGAAAGTTGAAGTTGTCCCGGTCAATGTGCGGGGTAGCGATGGGCCATTAATTCGTCGATTCGGACAAATGATCAAACCCCATACTCAGCTGAATGGTGGCGTAATGTGGGACT